TTTTTTTTTTTTTTTTTGGTGGCTATATTAGGCAGATTCTATGAATCTGTTACTAGCTGAAGTATGTTCAGAATTCCAAGAGTTTTCTACGAGAGCTGGCACTTAAGATCTAAAATTTAAATCCATGTACCAGACAGATTCCTCTCCAAACACTCAGCGCTCAGCTCCAAGGAGGGGGATTAAATTCTTTCGGTACTCAGAAGCACTCAAACCAAGGCAGCTCTGACCAATGACAGTGTGGATGGGCCAGGTCCTTGTCAGCCAGTGCAGTACTCCTGACAGCAGTCCAGTGGAGCAGGGGACTTCTCTCTCCACCCACATTGCCTCCTCCCTGGCCTTTCACAGCGGTGCCCTCCTACACATCAAACTTCAGTGGCTTCCGGAGACCTAAGTGGACCTTCCCTGTGCATCTTGTCCACACCCTTTCTGTAAATTTAGACTTAATCCTCTCTCCTGTCTCTACTTCCTTTTCCTCACATTTCATGGCTATTCAACTGTGTGCTGCTCACGCCCCTCAGACAGGAAGTGCTGAAGGGCGGCTATATATGCAAGGTCAAAGCACAGCTATGAAGTTTGCTGGCTCTCAGGTCCAGCTAACAGAATCAGTTTTCAAAGACATTCCCAGCACAGGACAGAGTTTGTAGGATCCTGGGGTGATGTAGCAGAACCAATCCTGGAGGAGAAAACTAAAAACACAGCACCTTATCAACCAAACAGTCCAGGCCTGGCATCTCAGGTGCAGGCAACAGCTTTACCCAAAGCCCAACAAGGTGTTCATCCATTTTCTCATTTGGGTTTTTGAAACAGGTCTTGCTATTAGCCTAAGCTGGCCCTAAACTTGCTATGTAGCCCAGCAGCAGTCTCCAACTTGTGATCCTCCCACTTCAGCTTCCTGACTGCTAGGATTACAGGTGAGCGCCACCATGTGTAGCTAAAAAGTTCCTTATTTTTAAAACGAGCTTTTTGATAACACAGTGAGTTTTAAAAAACATGCATAATCCTTGATGCTTTATCTCAAGATATGCAGGCTGAATTAAAGCTATATATAATGTAAATAAGAATTACACTATAATGTAAATTAAAATTGTTTTGATGTAATCTTGAAAATTTACAGCAAATACAAAAGAAACCATATTGACAAGAATAAAATATGGAAGTAATCAAATGCATGAGATATGAAATAAAGTTCTCTGTTAGCATTTGACCTTCACACATTAGACCACAGTACTTTCAGGGAATTGCTCATAACAGCTAATGCCTACTAAGTCGTGGCCAGGGTCAGGCACACTGCTGAGGGCTTATGGACTTTTCTTAGTTCATCCTCACGAGCAACTGGGGAGGGCCAGGGCTCACCCCCACCTTACAGATGAATGCTTCAGCATAGCAAAGCACCACAGTCACAGCTGAGCTCTAATGAGACAGCAGAGTCGGTCTGCAGCACAGGCAGCAAGGCTCAAAATGCCCACTCTTTGCGGAGCAGGTGATCTTCCAGATGTAGCAGAAAACCCTTCTAGTATACAGACAGCAATGCTTTCTTCCTAAGACACGGTACAGCAATTACCTCTGAAAGAAAGAATTCTTCATGCTTTTCTTCAGCTGCCCTTTGGACCAACTTGTTAAAAGGTAAAGTTCTAGAACAAACACATATAATATGATCAATATACATATAGGCTATGATCTTCTAATTTACAATATCCAGTTTTTATCATGACCTATTATGTAGAATTCTAAATATTCAAAATTCATTTGGCATTATGTCTATTTGATCTGTTATGGGAAACTTTAGAACTAAGGATTTTTAAGTTTATATACACACAATCCTTAAAGTCAATATCCTTCTATTCCTTATTACTGACAGAAAAATGCTTTTATGGTTCTAATTACCTTTGGAAAGACACAAGCTCTCAGGCTGTGGTGAAGAATGGACAAACTGCTAGTGCTACTCTGCAAAAGATGTGAGGCAAGGTCCTAATGCAGACCCTCCTGCCTTTCGGCACAATCTCAGAATACAGAAGCCAGAACACCAATCTTACCCTTCTCTACCACCTTCTCTCATTTTAAGGCTTCTGAGAAGTGGCTCAAGGAGAACTCCAGTGAAGTCACCAGTTTTTATCCCTCAGAAGTTCTGCCCCATATCCTGTTTCCTTCCTTTCATGGTTTGGGAAACCAAAGCCAATGGGCTTTCGGAAGCCACCAGACCATGAGGTGCTAGGCACATCTGCAGCTGAATGGGCTATTAAGAATGGGGCCTAGTTGAAAGCGGGTCATGGGATGTGACCTTGGGGACAGTATCTGAAGCCCTTCCTTTAGAGCTGTCATGCTCACTTTCTGCTTCCTGGCTGCTGTGAGGTGAGCAGCTGTGTTCCACCATGATGTTCTACTCAGGTCTAAAGCAATTGGAGTCAGTTGGTCATGGACTGAAACCTTGGAAACCATGAGCCTATGCAAATCTCTCCTCCTCTGTTCTTCTCAGGTATTTAGTCAGAGGAAGGATAAACTGACTTACACACTTCCATCCTGGAGAAAAAGGCAGGATATTTTGGAAGCAGAGTTCATTTTCTGTACATCATACTCCTGAGATCACAGGGCTACATTTTCTCTAGGTCCTATGCTATCCCTTCAACCTTCTCAGATTGAAAGTATCACTGCTGTGTAATATAACAGTGTATCACTAACAAGGCAGTGGGGTCCTCAAAAGCCTGCCCTCTGCTCCCCACTGCATGCCCACTGCCCAACCTCTCATCCAAGACTATAGGCTTTTCAATCTCATTTCTAAGTATCTTCTCACTTGAAATCTGTACTGGGGAGATAGAGACAAGCAGTTAGGAAAACTCCTTTGCTATGAGAAGATTACACTGGGCTGGCTCACTCTCCCCTGGCACTTATTTCCCAGAACATGAAATGGCAGCTGTGGTATCAGGAGTAGTGTTTGCTATACAAGTGAGTAGTGAACTACATCTGCACTAGGCCTGGGAATGGACTAAGCAGACTTGTTAGGAAGTAGAGAGCAACGTACAGTAATTCATGACTGAGTATGGAGAAACCCAGTTCCCAGGCCACTTTGCGGTACTAGTTTCTGGGGACCATGTCTAGTCAGACCATGTCTGACTTACCTGGCTAGATGTTTCAATAGCACCTCCGTTGCCTTGTTCTCTTAAAACTAAGCTGTCACTGGTGAGCAAAAAAATGGCCCTTGTTTGCATGGACTGCTGAGGCTATTGTCCTGCTACAGTGCTGCTTCCTGCCTGGCACTCTTCTGCAAAGCTAAGTGAATGTGATGCTGTTAGGGGCGGGTGGGTCCTGTGAACAGGCACATGGACTACTGTCATCCTGATCATTGTGTGAGTGAGCACTGAGCAGAGCAAAGGAGTCTGCTGTCTACTCAGACCAACACAAATTCTCCCACTCTAGCTTCTGATCAGCCAGATCAGTAAGGTTACTTGGTGGCCCCTACTCAATGTTCTCGATCTCAGGCCTCAGCACACACCTACCTCTTGCTGCTATCAAAACATCTTTGCAAAGCTCAAGACAGGGAAGCTCATCTAGGCTATGTAACTGGTACAGATGCCCAAGCTGAGTTTTCTTGGCAGGGAGAGCAGAGAAGCATTTCAAGACCTTGAGAAACTCGAGGCAGAATGGTCAGGCTGCAAGAGTAATAAAGTAGCTGACCAGAGAAGCAGAGTAGAGTGCTGCCAACGTCCGCCCTTGGAGAGCCCTTCAGCTGGGGCTTTACCTATCTTGTGCATGTTCCAAGCAGGTTTCCTGCTGTTGAAGTGCCATGTGTGGGACAGGCACACAGACACGAGGAGAGGGAGGGTCTGGGAGGGGAGACGAGGAGTCTGAATCTGAGTACAAATCCTGGGCCCTATTGTTTTATCCCTACATGATCTTGAGTAAATTTCTTCTCTTTGCAATCACTGTAAATAATACCTACCTCCCAGACTGCTTTCTAGTTTAAACTAGAAGTGCTGCCTAGAACGCTTGTCACTAGAGCTACACACAGAAGATGTTCAGTAAAGATGCTGGGTTAGCCATGACCACAACACACCTTTCAGCAGTATACAGGGAGTCATCAGTATTTTTTTAAAAAGGAAAAGAACCCTCCAGGATCCAAGTGCCCACTTTGGAAAGGCTCTTTTGAAAAGTCAAGATAAACACTGATGAAAGTATGGTAAACAGTGAGAGCAAACTGACGAGAGAATTACATGATACATTAGGTAAGAGCAGCTAACCAGGGCTCAGGTCAGATTTAAGTACTTTTAAAAAATTAAACCAGGCCAGGGATTTAGCTCAGTGGTTCTGCCACCTGCCTCACAAGTGCAAGGACTCAAGTTCAATCCCCGGTACCAAAAAAAATTAAACCTATGGCCAGAAGATACCAAGAACACCCTTTCATTTCGCTGCACAAGTTTCTTCGGTCACCAGTATCCCAACTCTGGACGGAACAGTGAGAGCTACCAAGAAGAAAAAAAAAGTAAAAGATACGACTTGTTAGTATATCTGGCTCATTGATAAATGAGGAGAAAAGCAAACTCTACGACACAGACACCTGTAGGAGTCCCTCCTTTCCAGTATCTCTCAGCCTAGGTACCTCCTTTCTTTCCTCCTGCCTGGTAAAAGCCGAAAGAACTAAACTTACTTTTTTTTTTCTACACTAAACAATAATCTTGTAACTCCTTAGTAATTCTAGTGGAAGGCTGTGAGAAAGCTGGGATAGCACATAGTGCATGTGCTTCAAAAATAAGTTTTGTAAAGTTTAAAAGGCATGACAACAAAACATCAAAACACTTCAAGATGAAATTTCAATATCCATTTATTATGGCATTAGATACCGGAAAACGATCATCATTAATTGCAGGCTGAAAAACACACATCTTTCCAGTACTTTCTTCCACTTTCATGACTTGATAAAAAGTGAAAAGTTCTTATACGTGAAAGAACTTGCACCAATTAAATTCAATTCATGGCCTATTGAAACCAAAACTATAATGGTGAGTTTTAAAAAGTGAAAATTGAGAAATGCTTTGGCAGCTGCTATGTGAACCTGGAAATGTCTAATGAAAGGAACATCCCTAGACATTGGAAACTTTGTGACGCTCACCTCTGACCTGAAGTCTTTTGCAAACTACATGGTTTTCAATGATTTAATTTACTGGAAACTATACTTTCTGAAAATTACAGAGTTCTTTGGTTATGATTCTCATGGGAATACACAGTATATGAAATCTTCAAGACAACATTTAAAGCTTCCAAGTTTAGACATTCAGTAGCTTTTGACCATTGCTTATTTACTTTTGGAAAAAAAATTTTTTTTTTTTATACCGGGTTTAAACTCAGTTCCTTGCACTTGTGAAGCAGGCGGCAAAACCACTGAGCTAAATTCCCAGTCCCCATTTCTTATTTACTTTTAAGAGATTCCACAGCATAAAATGACAACTCTGAGTGAAATTAAAGGTATTTAAGACTATTTCATCAAAAAAGAAAATTAAGCATGATTTTAAAAATACCCAAATTGATGAAAGATTATACCACACATAGCTTGTCTTATATTTCTGGAGAGCACAGAAAATGTGAGACTTTTAAAAAATCTTCCTGTGCTAGTTAAGTTATTAATGTGGTAAGATATATTAATGAAGCACTGAATGAATACAGCAGACCCAACTGTAGGCATAACTAACTCTATTTATAGAAGTCCTCTCCAAAAGACCTTAGGTGTACACCCTATTTTTAAAGGGCTTTAGACATGTCTTTGTATCATTATGTCCTCAGAATTCTTGTCTTTTTTGAACCACTCTTTAAAAACCAGTAAGATTACAACTAGCAAAAGACAAAATGCCATATGGTCTTTGCTCTAAAAATATTTTAGATGTTTTTAAAAACTTATTTGTACCCCAGAGTAAACCTCAAAAGAAAATACCTATATACAAAGTTCTTACTAATGAAGTCCATCTGTGCAACTGCGGCCACGTGAATCTTCACTTCTCTGGTCCCGCCAACGTGGCTCAGGTAATCCACTGTCCATTTGCTCGTACATGGCCCCAGATCAAGTCCTTTCAACACAAGAGGCTTTCTCTGTAAGTGGGGAAAAAAAAACCAGCAAAAACATTTGTGAAAATCAAGAACCTATCAGTAGCTGTAGTTGGCAACAGAGGTGAGAAGCTGATTCTTGATCCTGAGATGCTTAAACTCAAAGCTCTGGCAGTTAATGCTGCCACTACAATGAAAAGAGGACCCACATAACATACCCAGGACAAAAGGTTGAGACCAGGAACACAAACAGCAGCAGCAGTAGCAGAGAAAGAAGACAGATCCAAATGTTACATACAATATTTCCATATTTTTATGATGAAAATATAAATAATTAAAATGTGTACTCTCTAGTCAAAAGTTTGGTAACTTTTTATTTTGATACCATTTCAAACTTCTAAAAGTGTTGCAAGCACCTGTCATCTCAGAATTTGGGGAAGCTGAGGGAGGAGGATCATGAGTTTGATCCCAGCTTGGGCAATTTAGTGAGACCCTTTCTCAAATTTAAAAATGTTTACAAGGGCTATGGATATAGCTCAGTATGAAAGCCCTGGCTTGAGCATCCACTATTAGGAGAAAAAAAAAAGTTGCAAGGACATCACAAAGAATTTGCATTTGCATATACCTTCTTCCTTGATTCACCAAATGTTAATATTATATTCCATTTGGTTTACTGTTTCTCTCACTCTGAGTAATTAAAGGACATGTTATTAAACCTAACTTCTTTTTTGCTGAATCATTTTAAGGTTAAATAGCTGACATCATACCTTTTATCTGTAAAAGCTTGATTAGATTTCCTAAGAACAAAGACATTCTCTTACATAACCATGAAGTAATTATCAAAATTATATTTCACATGACATAACACTGTTGTTGAATCCACAGTCCAGATTCAGATTTCACTAACTGTCCCAATAATTTCCTTTAGAGCTAATTCTTTTCCTGGTCTAGAACGCAGTCTGAGATGCCAAATTACACCAGTTACCCTCTTTTTTCTCTTTTCATCTGGAACAGTACCCAGCCTTTGTCTTCCATAACCATGACATTTATGAAGTGTACAGGCCAGTTATTTTGTTGAATGCTCTCCAATCAGGATTTGTGTGAAATCTCATGATTGGTCAGGTTATGCATTAGGAGTGAGGGCGTGTCCCATAGAATGAGTGCTGTGGCCCTCCCTGGGTACCATGTCACATGGCACCTGATATTTTGCCCTAGTATTTGTAATATTAACTTTGATCAACAACTGGCAATTGCTTCCTGAATCAAGAACTGTTAAAATGAGTGTAACAAGTGATTTTTAAACCTCTATCATTTTTCTACATTTATTAGTTGGCATTCTAATGCAAAAATAAATGAGCTCTAACTTCTCCATTTACTTATATTACTCCACAGGTAACAATCTGCTCATATAAGTTTGGTGCTCAAATTATTCCCAATCTGGCTAGTAGGTCCCTTCAAACTAGTAAATTGTTAACCTTTTAACCTAAACACTACTTTATGACAAAGTACTGCACTCCAGCACCCCTTTATACTTTCTCTAATAGCCTTGTAGTCAATCAGTCATTTCTTCAAGCATCTCTGGTTTCTTTTAAACGCAAAATGTTTAATGTGGTATCTTTACTTCTGCCTTTTCAGTGGTCCAAGCTAACAATCGTGAGGTTGTATGTGTACCCCAGAACACACACCCTCATACAATATATGCATATTTCTCTCTCCATGAATGTACTATACACATTCGTAATGCACATGTGCACAAATCACATATATTTCAAAGTTAACCTATCTCTACTGTTTCTATATGTGTAACTGTTCCAACAGTGAGAAACTCAATTACTATCATTATCATTTGCACATTTGTAAAATCCTTGATTTACAGAAAGTACTTTATGTTAGGTCTTATTATTTTAAAAAAAAGTTTACTAACCAGAATTCAGTTTTCTTTTCTTTTTTTTTTTTTTTTTTTTTTTTTTTTTTTTTGTTTGTTTTTTTGAGTACTGGGGATCGAACTCAAGATCTTGCACTTGGGAGGCAAGCGGCAGCACCACTGAGCTAAATCCTCAGCCCGTTTTCATTTCTTTTTATCCTAGACTAAGTCTAGAGTACTGTTTATGTTTTTAAAAAGTGACCTATGTTACTTTCTATACCCACATCTGTTAGGTTCATTTGTCACTTTTTATATTCTTTTTATTATTTTTTATTGAGTTTATTGGTACATTCTAGGTATACAGTACAGTTATATTCATTACTGGGATCTTGTACCTTTACATGACAGGTCTTGGTTCTCATTTTTTCCCTTTGTCCCTACCCTCCCTTCACCCCCTCCTCCCCTCCCCATTTACAAACACTTTAATTCCATTTTTTTCATTTTAAAAGGTAAAACACTTTTTTAAAGTTCATTCAAATTTGGAGTCATGGTTAGCTCTTACAGAGCTGGAGTACAAATTTACTTTTTTATAGTACTTTCATTTCTTCACATTTTTCTCATCCACTCGGACTTCCTTCTTGCATATAGTATGAGATATAAATCTAACTTTACTATACTCTGAAGGACTATTCAGTTATCCAAGCACTGTCAGAGCAGTGAAACTACTCTGTATAATGCTGTAATAGTGGAAATGTGCCATGAATTTGTCTAAACCCACAGAACCCACAACCCCAAGAGTGAACTCTGAGCCACACCGCTGGGGTGAAAGTAACTGTCAGTGTAGGTTCATCAGCTCTAACAACTGCACCACTCTGGTGGAACATGCTGATGACGAAGAGGCGCTGCACTGCAAGTCTGAGAGTGGGAGTGTATGAGAAATCTACCTTCTGCTCAGCTTAGCAGCTGTGAAGCTAAAACTGCTCTAATACAATCCATTAAAAAGTTAATTTTTGCCTGTCATGTGTATTATGTGGTAAATTTCTATATGAGTAAAAATTTATTTCTGAATATGCACATCTAGACACACATACTTGGAAAGAGGTATTTCTGTACTTTACTTCTATGGTCTGTCCATTCGATCACCTGTACCATATGCAAGTGCTAATTTTACAATTATTAGTATATGTATGCTTTTCAAAACCTGATAGGACTGTGCTTCCTCAGATTTTTCACTTTGGTGTTTCCAGGTAGAAAGGTCTCCTTTCAATTTTGTTATTAACTTCTAGTTTTACTGCACTATAACCAGAGAAGACTATAACTTTCTACTTTTTGAAACTTAATGATGATGCTTCTTTTGTAACATACTAGTCTTCTCTGGGATGATTAAGATAAAAAACCCACTTTGGTACACATCTTACAAAGCACTTCACCTACATCATTCAATCTTCCCAACACTGCCCTGCAGGCATCACAGGTCTAGCACAGCTTGACATGGTGGGGGGAGCATTCAGCCCCACCCCCAGACAGGGGAGAGAGAGAGAGAGAGAGAGAGAGAGAGCGCGCGCGCGCGCGCGAGCATCCAGCCCCACCCCCAGACAAATGACGTCTGAATCCTCTCCTGTACACCGATAATACCAAAAGAAAAACCCTCATTTGACTTGTAAACCTCAGAACTGTAGTTCTATAACCACCTTTATAGATGTAAATATCAAGGAAGAAAATTCCTGAGTGGTTTTGTTTTATTTTTTCTCCTACCTTAAACAGACTTACTGTAACCGTTGAGGATCTTTTCCTTTAAATACCTGCTAGACTCCTTGTTTTGTTCTTAAATCTGAATTCCCTTGCGAAGTATCGCAAGTAAAAAACCAAGCCCTCCCCCAAATATTTTTCTCTGAGTTTTCTTCTGAAGAATCAAGGGATTCCAAACTCTAAACTAAAATCCAGATTAGTTAGAACCCAGGACCTCTGTAAGATTCCCGGGAGATTCAGGCTCTTTTCCTGTTGTTTTGATGGAGTGAAAAGTTGTGCTTTCAAATCTATTAATTCTTCAGTACAGGGGCAAGTGCTGTCTGCACTAAGGAGGCCTGGAATCCTGAACTAAACTTGAGGAAACCTGGCAGAAGACTGGCTCGAGGGCCACGGTAACTGCAAGATGGCCCTCGCTTCTCGAACCCAGCATCCCGCGGTCCTCCTGGTTTCTCCCGATTACTAATAGGAGCCAGGCCCGCCGCTGGCGCCTTTCCCCCACACCCTGGGTCGAAAGAACATCGTTCGGAGTCGCCGGAAAAGCTCCGAAAGGTCTCTCCTCGCGTCCCACCTGTGGGTAAAGGTGCTGCCTAAAGTTCTCTGCAGAGACGCCCTCGAGACGAGGTACCGAGACGCTTTCCCCGGCCATCCTTCTTGAGGAGTCTCAGCCTTTCCGGCGCAATGAGTCCGTCTGCGCGTGCTCGGCTCGGAAACACGACCCGCAGAGAAAAGGGTCCGCGAAGCCGGCGGCCGCCCCGGGGTACGGGTGCTAATCATGGACGCGCGGCGCAAAACCGACCGGTTTGTGATGGGTCGGATCCTAGGGCGGGCTCACCAGAGGCAACATCAACCGGCCAGCGTGACTCGCCAGCCCCTTTCTCTGACGCCGCCGAGGTTGTTTCCTTCCGGCTTCCTTGCTTTGCTGCACAGGCACTGGGGGTGAAAGGTCACCAAGATGGCGCTGACCGCTCGTCTGCTCCCGAGTTCGCTCCTGGCCTGGTCGCTGCCCAGCGGGGCAGCTCGGCTCGGAACCCCTCGGGCAGCCGTGGTGAAGCCAGCGTGACTCGCCAGCCCCTTTCTCTGACGCCGCCGAGGTTGTTTCCTTCCGGCTTCCTTGCTTTGCTGCACAGGCACTGGGGGTGAAAGGTCACCAAGATGGCGCTGACCGCTCGTCTGCTCCCGAGTTCGCTCCTGGCCTGGTCGCTGCCCAGCGGGGCAGCTCGGCTCGGAACCCCTCGGGCAGCCGTGGTGAAGAGAGTTACAGCACTGAGGAGCAGCGCCAGGGCACCAGGATGATCGTCCTGGGGTTCTCCAACCCAGTCACCTGGGTGCGCACGCGCGTGCTCGCCTTCCTCGTCTGGGCCTACTTCGACCGCGAGTTCAGTATCACGGAGTTCTCCAAGGCGGCCAAGCAGGTGGGGTCCCTGTCCCGCTCTCAGCTGTAACGCGAAGCGTTTGTCCCTGGGTCCTCGGCTGTCAGACCTTAGTAGTGACCAGACGGCGACTCCTGCAGCCACTTGAAATGAACTTCTGGGTGTGTTTGCCAAGTCCCTCAGGTTTTATGTGTGTCTGTTTGTTTTGTTTTTGTTTTCCCATTCCCTATAGGTTTTGATTCAAACAGAAATGGGTTCAAAGTCCATTTCTGCCACATAGAAGCTGTTTGGCCTTTAGCCTTGATTTTCCAAATCTAAAATGGAGACACCAGTAAATGGCTTATAATGGGTACTTCGTAAATGTGTATTGAATAAATCGAGGAGACAAGATTATGGTGAGGAGCCGGGGATTTAGCTCAGCGGTTCGGCGGCCTGCCTCGTAAGCGCAAGGACCCGAGTTCAATCCCCGCCCCCCCCCAAAAAAAAAGATTATGATGAGGAATGAGCTAACATTTCCAAAGTACTGTCATGTCATCTTTGGTAGGAAGGCAGAACTCCTGGTCAGCTGTTTGAGAGCTCCACCTCTCTCCTTGAAGGGTCATCTGGAGATGAGCTGTTCTACCCTTTCAGAGTTTGCTGGGGATACTGTACACTGATAGTAAGGACAGGCGCCCAGCACACTGAGAATACTTAGCCTGGGTGTTTCTCAGACCCAGCTTTGTCAGTGATGACTTTCTCAGTGGCTAGTAATGTTTTGTCTTACTCATGTGATGGTCACTTTGAATCTTGAGATTATTTGCAGATTTTGTGTGTACATGTATTTTTCTAGGGTAAAAGGCCATATAATCTGTCCTTCCCCCACCCCGGTGGATTGATCCCAGGGCCTTCGCAATGAGCTACATCCCCAACCCTTTTTGCTGTTTTTTGTTTTCGTTTTTGAGACTAGGTCTTCTTGCTAAATTGCCCTGGGTGGGCTGGAACATAAAGTCCTTCAGTTTCATCCTCCCAGAGTCTAACACACAGGTTTCCGCCACCATATCTGGCTTAAATCTTCCTTTTGATTCTCTTAAGAGAGATTTTCATTCCCAAACATTACAGAACTAACGATAAAAAGTAGAAGTTATTTCACAGTTAATACCAATGTAAACCTTATCATCAGTGTATTATCAAACCTAAATCATCAGTGTGATCATTATGGTATTGACTGTGTACTGGTATCAGTATTTCTATTCCTGATTTATTTACTTCAATAATCACAACCACATATATTTATTGATACGACTTGTTAGCTATAAACCATTTTCCAATTTGATGTGACCATTGTCAGTATTACCTCTTTTCTGAGTCTGCTCTTTATTATAAAGTTAAAAATCCAAGTGCACGCTTGGTGGACATGCCGAATTAAGCAGCACAATGGAGGGGTAAAACTCTGCTCACATCAAATGCCCATGCAGCAGTCAGTTGGTATGATCTGCTGTTCTCCATGGTCCCAGCTGATGATGCAAGAGTGTCTCTGCTTGGTAACACATACAAATATGTATCAACTCATTTTTGTGTCAGGGATGGAAATCATCTGCCCACCACAAGCTTTAGGAATCAGGCTATAGGTCTGTTTTCTCTTAATGCCAGAAGAGTTGAGACACTTTTATAGCTATTTTAGTCTCCCTCCTTCATTATCCAATCTGTATTAATTTTTGCTTTATGTTGGTTCAGTAAACCATCCTGACGTCCCTGAATGGGTCAGCTGTGGTACATATTTAGTGATTCCCTTAAACCTATGGTTCTTGAATTTACTGTTCAGATCAAATTGTATCAGTTCTTCAACACCTACACAATACCTATCTTTATAAAAGAACATGGCCAAGTGCAATTATACCTTCCATTTTGTGCATGTAGTTTTGGGCTTGGGAATAATCTGGTACAGATCAGGTAGTTTCTCTGGTCTCTGAGCGCCGTGCTGTCTTTGTCCTTGGTGTAATCTCCCAGAAGTAAGATACTTGTGAATGTCAGACCAGTGAGCTTAAACCTTTTAAAGACCTACTGCCAACCTGCAACTTTAAACCCACTTACTTATTGCAAAGTGCCAATATTGCAATTAAATCTGAATCCTGAGGTTTTATTTTAGGAAACAATTCGTGCATTAACATCTTTTGTCCTTAAAGAAAAGCACAATAGCATGCATGCCATAGCTTCGTTACCACTGAATTAGACACTATTCATTAGGATTTTTATTTTAATCATGTAACATAAATATTTTCTAGACTAATCTTCTTTTACAGTTGATGAAACTAACTTTTGGGAAGATATCTACAAGGGAAATAGCTGCGTCAAGTGTGATATTAGTGAAACATGCGTACCCATAGCAGCACAACTCATAATAGCTAAACCTTGGAAGCAGCCTATGTAGGTGAATGGTTAAAGAAAATATGGTATTTACATATAGTGGAGCACTACTCTGCCACAAAGAAGGATAAACCTGAGGTATTTGTAGGAAAATGGATTCACCTTGAGACCATAATGTTAAGTAAAATAAATCAGACACACAAACTTAAATATCATATGATTTCTCTATAAGAGAAACCCCAAGTATAATAAACAGCAGAATAAAACATAGGTGATGGGAAGCAAGAAGATATGTCTTTCTCCGAAGAGAAAGGGATTGGGGGGGCGGTGAAGAAAGGAATTAGGATACAATTACGTCTGAGCACCAGCCCCACACAAGGAGTGTAAATATGTACTGAAAGCACGCACTAATGAAAGTTGAAAAACAAGTGATGAAACTAAGCTCCAGAAGGTGAAATGACTAATCAAGGGCTCATGGCCAATGAGTAGCTGTCCTGAGACTGAGCCATCTTAGTCCTTCAGTCACTAGGGACAGTCACGTAGCATCTAGACAAGCTTCTGTCCTGTGAGTAGGAATAGGCAGCCCCACAGACCCTGCTTGCAATTGATTGATGCCTTTGACATGATATCGTTCCCTCCTGTAGCCCTCACATTCCTGTTTCCTTCAGCCCTTGTACATTTTAGCTTTCCCTGTGCAAAGGCAGGCTGTTTCCTGGAAGCCTTTGCTGGAGGTTAGACTCTGTCTCACAGTACTTTTCAGGGTAATTTGCTCAGGTGTGACTTCTTGCCACACAAATGCACGTTGGGTTTTAACATAATAGTTGTGGTCATTTCTTTTGCACAGACTATTACCCATCTTCCAGATAAAAGCTTCCCAAGACATACAGTGTCTCCAAACCCTAAGGGCCTCTAAAAGTGTTTGCAGTCTTTGAGTCCACTTGTGTGTCTTCATTTTCTCATATTCAACTTCCTTATTGTGTTTAAGTTTACAAGGACTGTTTAGCAGAGCTACACAGAGGTGGTGGTTTAAACAATGGGATTTCAACAGCAAGGTATCAAAAGGGTTGGTTTCTCCTGGGGCCTCTGTCTTGCAGGTGATGTTTTCTTGCCATATCCCTGCATGGTCTTTGCTCTGCATCAGCTCATGTCCTTGCCTCTGTGTATGTGACCCAATTCCCCGTCTTACAAGGACAACAGTCAGATTGGATTAGGGCCCCCCGTTATTAGCTCACTCTGACTTAATTGTTTCTTTAAAGGCCACAACTCCAGTCACACTCTTAAGACATAGGAGGCTAGGGCTTTGAGATGGGTAGGGCATGGTCCAACCCATAGCAAGTGTGCAGTGTCCTTTGGCTGTGCATCTCCTTCTCCTGCCAGTTCTTTGGATTTCAGTTTAGATGCTACTTTGTTTAGCAAGCTTTCTCTGGCCCTCCCAGAATAGGGAGGTAGATCTTCTGCATGCTCCCAAGTCATCTTGTTCTTAACCCTGGCTTGATTCTTGAATTTGTCAGCAAGCTTGTCTTCTTCCCCAAGTAGAAAGCTCCTGAAAGATAGAGTCTTAATTTACAGGTCGTTTTGTTGCTAGGAATGTACAAAATCCCAGTGCCTCTGCCCCTTTAAAATGAGACCTCACATTTCAAAGTGGAGATCCCCTATTTTAAACTATAAGCTTCTCTTTTTTCCCCCACTTTCTCAAACATACCTTATCTCTTAATGAGGTACAAACTGCAATCCAGACTCCCAGTACAGCCGAGGCCAGTGATGGTGAACCTTTCAGAGCTTTCAGTGATACAAACGCCATGCTGCGGCACAAATACCGTAGGTTCACCACCGCTGGTCCACACAATCTCCTACTTCCTAAGGGCTATCTGTACTTGAGAGGTGGCTCATAGAAGAGTAAAGTGGTTTAGTATTCTTTTAAAAGAATATATGTAAGTAGTTTTTATTGAAGCATCTACTGTGTACACCACACTCTTATATCCCAGATTCCTGGAGTAGATTTATAATTAGCAATACCCAGTCTGTTGAGAGACCATCTAAGAAATGTCAACTAATTTCAAAGGAGTCTTAGCTAACATTAATGTATTCGTACTTGACATTTATTTATCACCTTTATCAAAAATAATCTGTTACACTTAGCTCTTCAAGTATTAACATTGTATTGTATTTCGGAGAGTAGATACATAATTAGCAATACTCTATATGTGAAAAGACCATCTAAGAAATGTCAGCTATCATCAAAGGAGTCTCAGCTAACATGGACACATTAACATTTGACATTATTTATCATCTTTTCTCTAAAATAGTCTTTGTTACATTTAACCATTTAACTGTTTATGGTATTTTGCATGATATTTTGAAATAATTGTTCCCTTCCTATTTTCTTTCAAGGCTTTTGCGTATGTATCCAAATTGCTATCACAATGTAAATTTGATCTGTTGGAAGAACTTGTGGCCAAAGAGGTAAAGTATACCTCCCCTCCCCCCCCCCGTATTAGAGATTGAGCCAGGGCCTTGTGCATGGTAGGCAAGCGCTCTACCACTGAGCTAGGTTCCAGCTTTTTCTACTTTGAGGCAGAATCTCCCTAAGTGGTCTAGGCTGGCCTTGATTTTGTGATCTTCATCCTCAGCTCCCCAAGGAGATGGGGTCACAGTCATGCACCACCATTCCTGACTTAAAGAATACTTTTTTCTTTCCAAATAAATACATAGCTTTCTTGCAATAGAATGATACACATTCTGAGTTTTGCTTAAAAATAGTATATGTGTGTCAGTGGCTAAAATAAGAGTCTGCTTGCATATTTTGTGCTATGTACCAGCTGGAATGAGTCCAGCTACTTCAGGCACACATAGTAAATGTGGTGTCTTTCAGGTGCTCATATAGAATGTGCTATTAGGAATTATCTATGAAGAAACTAGATGCTTTCAGCCTTGCCTTTGAGGGTAAGTAGATAGATAGTTTAGTAAATTTAAAACTAGGTTTAGAAAATTTTATGCCATGATAAAGATCATTATTTGCAGTGCTTTCAAAAGCTGAGTTGGTGACCTAACAGCTCACTTTTTCCAAACCCAGGTGCTACCTGTATTGAAAGAAAAGGTTACATCACTACCTGATAACCACAGGAGTGCTCTTGCTGCTGACATGGATGAGATTGTCTACACATCAACAGGGGACATCTCCATTTACTATGATGAGAAAGGTAGTGCTGAGCACGCTCAGCAGCTGAGTGAGCAGGGCTGTCCAGATCAGCTGAATAGTGGCTTCTGTCTGCCCCAGCAGATGTTTGCAGAGCTTCAGAGAAAGATGGCTCATTTCTGAAGACAGCAGACATGGCATAGTTCCTGATGTTTGCATTGTCTTCTCAGGACAAGCTCCTCCCGTGTCTCCTAACGGAAATGTTTGTTTCACATTTCCTGACTTGAAGGAGACAGCTGAGCATTTTAAATTCTGAATAGCATATTCTATGGAAGGAGTAAAGAGTAAAAGAAAGTGTCAGCTAAAGACTGATATGAAAAAAGATTAACTGTAGAACTCCCAGATTGGATTTGGAGATGATCAAAAAAAGTTAGAAGAAACTTTAGTGGTTATCTGTTTTTTTCTTGTGTGATGCATGCATTTTCCCCATAGCATTCCTGAAAAGTTCATTGATTGATAGATTGATGGATTCCTTACAACTTCCATACTCATTATATGCCAGGCACACAGGAAGTCCAACCTGTGCTTGCATACTGCATGTGTGACATGTGCATGCATACTCCTGCATGACACAGGAGGGCATCAGCTCCCCTTTTGTCGGACACCATAACTGACACCTCCAACTTAAAGAAGAAGAAGTTTAATTTTGGGGATTCAGTCCATGGCCTCCAGGCTCCAAAACAAAAACAGAGCCAAGGGGTGTGGTGGATCAGAGCTGCTTAGTTCCTGGCTGCTGGGAAGCACAGTAGGGACGGTTGGGGTGGGGGCAAGATCCATGTAGCATCCAGGATCCCCGCTCTGTGAGCCGCCCAGATACATCTGGAAGTGTGCTTTAACTCTGGTCAACTTGACAGTCGGGTTTAATGGCCACATTTCCCAAGGCAGTAATGATAGAGGACTCACGGTCAGAAAAGTTTTTATATACATGTTAATTTGAAAAGCGTAAATGTATTTTTTGTGTATGTCCTTCTCCCCTAATATTTCGTCTTTCTCAGCACCATGCTTACTAATTGCTAAGCATAGCAGGGCAAATTAGGATAGACTAGAAACCTTTCTGCTTTCAGGCAGTTGGGGTTCATTATTTGCCAGCAAAAACTGGCTTTTCCGCCACATTTTTGTCATAACAATAGATACTTGTCATAAGATTATTATAATTTAAGAAAATGCTGTAAATTGAGAATAATCCGTACTTAGTGAAGTATGTATGTGCTCAGTAACTAAAAGCTTATTACTAAGGTTCAGAGATGAGAGTAAAGTATGTAATAAGCCCTAGGGAAATTTTCTAAAAATAAAAATGTGTCAGAATAGGTATCTTAAGGTGCACCAGAATATGCACACGGTTTGATCTATAACAGCAGTATACAGCAAATTTCTAGTTTCAGCCTGGACATGTACATGATGGATCCCTGTGATTTGTGTTTGTGTGTGTTTTTTCTCTAAGGAAGGAAGTTCGTTAACATCCTGATGTGCTTTTGGTATCTAACCAGTGCCGACATCCCCAGCGAGGCTGTGCGTGGAGCCAGTGTGTTCCAGGTTAAGCTGGGGGATCAGAATGTGGAAACTAAGCAGCTTCTTAGTGCGAGTTATGAGTAAGTATACCATGCTTCACTGTTTCCTCCTCTAGAAATCGGAAGACAGTGAAGGTGTGAAAGCTAAAGCGTGTGTTAGGAAGGAAAGGATGAAAATTTGGCATTAATTATGACACACTGGATATGAAACAGGACTGTTAAGAAATTAGAAAGAGGTAACATCGCCGAGTTTCATCCAACAGGTTCAGCTCTCTGGTGCTGTCTCTCCACACCTGACAGGTGGTCACTTCAGCAGCCATTTACCCTGCCAGGGACTCGGGTACATGGCCATTGTGCAGAGGCTCGGTCGTGGGCTTTTCTCCGCCTCACCTGGGGCAGAAGGCACCATTTCCACAGTGGCCTCTCCCTGCTGGTGTGGCCTGTGGTGCTCCATGGCTTCTCCATGACCCCCTGTGTGGCTCAGGCTTGTGGTAGTTTCAGACTAGTCAAGTCTTTTACCTGGTGATTGTGTCCCAGGAAGCAGGAAATGGAAATGGCTAGAGCTCTAAAAGGATACACCCAGAATGAAAGCCGCATCGTTTCCACCAGTCACAGGACCTGCACCATCTGTATGTGCAAAGAGACCCACTCCTGCCAGGCGCGGTGTAGGGCTGCAATCTTAGCATTGGGGAGGCCGAGGCAGGAGGATTATTGTGAGTACAAGGCCAGCCTGGAATACCAGAAAAAGAGAAAAAAGGAAAATGAGGAGACCCACCACTTTATGAGCCAACAAACAGCAAGGTCACATTCCAGAAGAGCAAGTGGGCTTGGAGATTGGGTTGCAGCACTCAGCACCTGGGCCTTTCCTATGTGGCCAAGTACTCTATAGGCTTCAGACTCAGAACTGAAAGGATACAGACTTAGGAATACTTCCAGTGAGAAGTTAGCAAGTTCTTTATAAGATATACTACATTGTTGTGCTAATAAAATTTGGAACAGTGAACAACTAAACAAGTCAGTGGAGTCATAATTTAGTATTTAAAAGGGAGTGCTATATGATGTTGCCAAAGTGACAGAAATTTGCTTTAATATAACAAATCCCAAAAATGAACTAGGAAAGAAAATAAGTTCTTTTTCACTAAGATACCAGAGAATTATATCCACATTTTTTCACTTCTCCAAAGAAAGGTGTGTTTTTTTAATTGCTATTTGTGTAATTACTCAAGATGATAATCTTATTTAAATACCTATTTGAATCTATTGATTGTCTCTTTAGAGACATCTTTATATTAAAGAATATTATCAATACTGAACTTTGTCTTAACAGACACCCCGTTCTGAGACTGTGGCCAGCTCATATAGACTGGTGCTACCAAGTTCAAATCTGTAAACCAAATCTCCTTACTAAATTGTTAACTAATTGTTACTAAATCGGTAACTTTAGCCTTACTGAAAAAGAGCTTTTTCTGTATGCTGTATTTTATGCTTAAAGTCCTGTTTGGATCACCAGAGTACAGTTTATATCTTCTCTTATTAGGCACATGTGTTAGCTAGTGCTTTATAACAGTGCTGTATCCAAGTTTTGTTTAGAATATAGATCGGCCCAATAGAAATCCAGTTGGGGCTGGGCCCAGAGTTCATAGGTGAAGCACTTGCTTGGTGTGTGAGTGCTTAGCCCTTGAGAATGTGCTTCAGATATTTTTGTGATTGTACAGTAGATTAAATTTTTTTTTAAATTTTGACTTAGCCAAGAAGCATTGGGCTGATGTGAGATTCACGTTATTTGTTTTTTTTTTAGATTTCAGAGAGAGTTTACACAAGGAGTAAAGCCTGACTGGACAATTGCACGAATCGAACACTCACAGATACTAGAATAATCTTTCTTGGAAAAATCAGCATATGGACTTTTACCAGTTGCTATAAAAAACTAAGGAAGAAACATTTGGATCATGTGATCTTCACTTAATCAAGTCTGTGGATTACTTTTGTATTAGTTTGAAATAACCTTTGAAATCTGTTGGAATGGTACAATAAAGCATTTTCCAGATTGCTACCACCTTCTTTAAAAGACAAAGTAAAAAAACAAAAAAACCACACCAACACCACATTATTGGTATTATTTCCAATATTCTGTCTGTATCCATACAAATTAATTATATAGACCTAACGAGATACTGAACTATTTACATCTCTATATTAAAAATTTCTAAAAGATTTTATTGTGGCCAACATGCTTATAGCATTAATCCAAGAATGTGTAATATTTTTAAAAATCACTGTGCTATTCAGTACTTTTGGTTGCTAGCTGGCTGAGGAGTAGTTAGGTTCCAGCAGACCACCAGCCTCTGCAGAATGAAAGCTCTTAGTGGGTTTGAGGCATACAGAAGTCCAAGGAGGAAAAACGCTGTCTCAGCCACCTGTGAGAAATACTACTTGTCCTAACATACTTGTACTTGGGAGTCCTAGAGGTTGGAGTAGGAAGACAGACAAAATGCTAAGCAAAACAGGCTGAAATTTTTCCTTTTCGATGAAAGCTACACCTACAGATCCAAGAAATTCAAGTAAGGTTACATAAGTTGAAAAATCTCATCAAGGTGCATTATAATGAAATTACTGAAAGCCAACAAAATTGTAGAAGCAGGTGGAGCAGACAGCCAAGACACTCCATAGAAAAGATCCAGGATCAAAGTGGCTGCAAAGCCAGGTGTGCTAGTGCACACTCTGTAATCCCAGCATTCAGATTGCTTCATGTTTGCGGCTCTCTGGGGGGACCCCGTCCCGCGGGGAATAGGAGGTGAGAGCCGCCTCTTATTCGTGGGTCATCAGAGGCCGATCCGATCTTGAATGTCTGTGAAGGAAATCTTTAAGAAGTTAGAGCACATGGCCCAAGTCTGGTTTCTGATCAAAGGCACTTTATTGGCTCAGCAAAACGATTATATACTGTTATTCCAGGGGGAAGGTTTAGCAAGCTTATTAGACAGTTCAATCAAATCCTCTACCAATCACATGAGTCACTCAAGCATTTAACCATACAGCAATCAGTATTTTACCAAATGTGGGGAGGGGTAAGTGGGAAGGCATACATCAACAGTTAACCCTATGCAATCTTTAACTTAACAATCTCTAGGGGCAAGCAGGACAAGGAAATACCACCGGCCTCCTGCTCCAGATCCCGTGACCCTGTGGTTAGCACAAAGGGCTATTTTTTCTGTAAGATTCCCTGTTTGCCCAGGGGCTAGACCTGCCATAAGTCACGTATGTAGTCTAGTGGGATTTTTCCACCGAGGCAAAGGCTAAGGTTGAGGGCAGCCATCTTATGCAGGCCCAAGCAGTCTCTCACACATGTTTGGAGCCAACCTGGGTTACATAATTCCAGGCCAGTCTGAACTTCACATGTCTTTGAAAAGGCTACATAGTTCTTTTCTCAAGTGAGAGATATTGGCATGGTATATTTTAAGTGCTGGAAGAAAATAACCTGTTGGTTGAGAATTCTACCTTTAGCAGAAGGATTCTTCAAGAATGAAGGTGAGATTTTTATTCAGAGAAAATATTCAAGAATTTGCCCTCAGTAGACATTCTTCATAAGAACTTTTACGGACCAACAACTGTGGAGTTCAGAAATGGACTCACGCATACGGATGGTTGATTTTTTTTTTTTTTTTTTGTACCAGGGATCAAACCCGGTCAGGACCTTGCACTTGTACGGCAGGCAGTGGAACCACTGAGCTAAATCCCTGGCCTTCAGATGGTTGATTTTTGACAGTAGAGCCAAAGAAATTCAATGAGGAAAAGATAAGTTCAAAAATTACAGATTCATATAGGAAATGAACCACAACTCTTGTCTCACAGAATACATAGTTTTAGCACTAAATTACAAATTGGAAGAGTGGCTCGTAGACCTAAACAAGAACAAACTAGAAAACCTAAAACCTAGAAGTTCTAGAACAACTTCACTACCTTGACATAGGTGAACTCCCCTAGGATGGAGAAGGCATGAGCCATGAAGGATACCAGAGTGCTTTGTGTTATTTAATCCCCGCCAGGAGACCAGGCCCCCAGGACTGAATCCGAGCAGCCTTATAATTAACCAGGCAGACACACGCATACATGTCACCATGTGAGGAGAAACTGTTTAGCAAGAAAAGTTGTGGAAAAACAAGATGAAATGATTATAAGAAAACCAACCTGTATTCCATCTATAATTTTCATGTAGTTTCACCTAATCTTAGATGAAATGTATAAGAGATATGGCAGTATTACTAAAAGTAAAAATACAGCCAACAATTATCATGGCCTCAGTTTTAAAAGGTCTCCAATCTGAAGATGTTCAATGGATGGGGAAGTGTGACGTAGAATCTGGATTTTCACCTGCCAGGTGCACCTCAGTAAGACAGGGCAGGGGTATTAGTGCCTGTGTGAGATTCTGTTTTCTCAGCAAAAGCAGTCAACATTAGGGAGGTCTCCAAAGTACACTGCATACCTTAAATGTACCAATAAAATTAATTAATTTTAAAAAAGTAGCTATGTGCCACATAGATACTCAGACTATTTAGTTTCCAAGTTTCTCACTGTTAAATATAAGAAGACAACCAAAGATCATCAGATATTTGAGGAAAGCTGTGTATACAAGAGATAGCAATACATATAAATATAAAAAGTAATTTGGAAAAGACTGAAATAATCTTAGAGAAATGAAAAAAATGTAATAATGAAGCCAAAAGAGAACACCATAAAAGGAATGTTTAGGAAACAGAAAGGGGCTCATGAAAACAAAATATCACAGAAATGATAAATTGAATAGAAAGGTTAGGCAATAAAGAAAATATCTTTGAAGCTTTAAAAAAATATTATTTTTTTGGTACCAAGGATTGAACTCAAGCTCATTCACTTGCAAGGGAGGTGGGTGAACCACTGAGCCAAATCCCCGGCCCTAGAAAACATCTTTGAATACAGAACAAAAATGAAGAAAATTTTAAAAAATAAATGAGAAAAGAAAGCAGAACTGCGTGTGATGGTACCTGCTTGTAACTCTGACAGTTGGAAGGCTGAGGCAAAAGGATTGTGAGTTGGGTGGTAGCTTGGGCTTCACCTCAAGATCAAGGCCAACCCAGATTACATAGTGAGACCCTATCTCAAAAAAAGCCCACCCTCTAAAGCCCTCAAAATATGAAATATTGTAAGAGGTTGAATATCTGAGTATGAGAAGTTCCAGGAAAGGGAATGGAGAGGATAGAATGGAGGAATTTGCCAATGAAAGAATTCAAGAAAATTCCCTAGAACTATAAGAATAAAATCAAATTTCATAAGGTACATCACTGTGAAATTTCAAATTTCAGGATACAAAGAAGGTTCTATAAATTCAGAAAGAAGAGTGAGGTAGGGCAGAGAGATTTCAAATTTAAAAGGCTAGGAATAGCACGGCCTTAAGGCTTTTTAGAAGTTATACTACAATCAATAATAAGGTAACAGAGCAATGCTTCCAAAATTAACCTAGAATAGGGCCTTGCAAGCACAAGGACCCGAGTTCGATCACTGGTTCCAAAGGAAAAAAAAAAAACCTAGAATTTTGTACCCAGTCAAATTATTACTCAAAATGAGGGTAGGATAAAGATATACAAAAACATTCACGCTTTCATATTTTTGTCTACCACACAGTCTTTCCCATGCAGGCAGTTACTGGAGTTCCACCAAAATAGGGAACATACAGGGTTAATAAAACAAATGATACAGAGAGGCTAAGTTCCAAGAGTTGATAATGAAAAAAGATCCCAGGGCAAGTTTATGCATTAAACACTTGTGGCAGTTTGGAACAATTCTGCAGATTCTGGAGGAGACTTCTTTGGGACTATGGAACTGATAGACTGCCTGATAAATATGAATGTGTTAAGGAGAAATTTAGATCACAAAAGAGACAGAGGTTAATTCAAAGCAGGGAAACAAAATTAAGCCAGAGAGAGCCAAAAGTGGTTGCAGTCACACGGGCTACTATGAGCATGCAGGAGATACTGGCATAGAAGAGATACCATCTAGTAACAGGAAGATTACTTTGACCCAGGAGCCGGACAGATTCTAGGATCTGGTTGGATATTTATTGATATTTGATTCTTCTGTGGTTCATTTCATAGTTGTTAAGGAAGAATGATCTCCATGTCAAGGATATTACAATTATAATTTTAATTGAGTTTCATGATCAATTTCCAACTGAACCAAAAATATCAACCCTGTAGTCTTAAAGTACATCCTTCCTCTGTAGGCCATTCTCAAAGAGGCTCAGCTTCCCTGAAAGAGTCAAAAGCTGTGGGAGCCCGGCCATGGCCCTCTAGGAGTTTGACATTTAAAAGGAAACTTCTTCACCTCTACACTCAAGGCATTGATACAATCTGTAACATTCTAGGACTCTGCTTGTTAAACTAGTTGCTGCAATGGAAGAAACTCAAAGAGACAGCCATAGATCTGATGTTCTTTGCAAAGAGTCAGAAAATCCGGTCTTTGCATAAAAGATACAAATAGTTGCTTGGTGCGTCCTGTTGATGTGAGCCTTTAAAAGGAGCTGTTGCTGTGAAATAAATCAGACTTCTCTTGTCTCCGCTCAGGCTTGAGTGTTCTTTCCTTTCTCAATCCTCACTCCCCAACTCAGGCATGTTCGTGTTGTGACGGCTGGGCCGCCACAAAGAGCAGTGAGGGTTTGTGTAACATAGGAACACGCAGACAACAACAGTATCTTCATAGGTGTCTCTAGGTAATGGAATCTACTGTACTTGCCAATTAGAAATATACTGCCACCTCCTTGTCCTAGTATCCTAGGTTTAATTTGGGCCTTCAGTCCTTTCCTGTGTCTGTTTCACCAGGAATTGACTTGCGTATTTCCTTGTTCCTAGGGCCTTATTCTGATATCAGCTATTTTTCATTTTCTCCACCTGCAATAACTTCATTTAGTCCTTCAGTAACAACATAGATATTTGTAGTTCTTTCCCTCTGTGCTCTCCCCTCCCCTTTGTATTGCTCTGAGCTTTTCTACTCAAGCAGGAGGGATGTTAGGGCTCCTATGCTTTTTAAAAGAAAGAATAGAGTCTAGAGTTAAAAACATTGTATTGTAGGATTGTTTTCTCTAGTTCTGTGAGGAAAGCTGTTGGTGTTTTGATTCGAATTGCATTAAATCTGTATACGAGTTTTGGA